TTTGTTCTTCCAAATGAACTTTGTCATTAATTTTTTCTAACTCAGTGAAATAATTTTTTAGTAATCTAATTGGGATGATATTGAATAAATAGGTTAGTTAGGTAAAATTGTCATTGTTAAAATTATATTGGCTTTACCTACCCATGAACAATAAATACAACTTCAATTATTTAGATCTGAGTTCATTTGTATGCAAAGTTTTATATTTATATTCATATAGTTCCTCTGTCTGTTTTGGCAGGTACATGCTCAGGTATTTTAGACCCATCTAGTTATTAATCTGAGCATTTGGTCAGCTTTATTCCTTCTCAGATCCTCCACAGAGCCTTGCACATAATAGATACTCAATAAGAGTTTGTGAAATAAAAGCATAACCCAAAGACATAGCCACAGATACAACTGAGACTATAAACACACCAATCAGGCCCCATTCAAGCAGCAACGGAAAATTTCTCCACCCTATTCTTTACTCTAACATTGTTTGAAACTCATGGTAACACAACTGAGCAACAGATGGGACTAAAAAATGAATTGCAAGAACATGAAGAAATACAACATTTGTGTATACACTTATAACAAGGATGCAATTATTTTAGAGTTTCAGATCTTAGAGGACATCCAGTCCAACCCATTCTTTTAATAGATGAGGACCAGCTGTAGAAAAGTCAAGCAACTTGCCCAAGGCCACAGGGCTGTTTATTGGGGTGGAAGAGGCACAAGGGCGTAGATAGAACTCTTTGGAGCCCATGTCTCCTGACTCTCAGTTCAACATCCTTTCCACTACACCCCTGTGGGCCATTAGACCTCAGAAAGAAGCCTAAGCTCCTTTTGATGGAAGCCAAATATACTGAATCTCTTCCCAAGACAAAGGCCCATACTATCTGCTACTGAGACTGATCACCAGGAAATACATTCAACTTTGGGCAGCTAGGCTTCAAAATTTTCCAGTAAGTTTTTTTTTCAGGTGAACAGCACTAAAAACATATTTCTATAAAATAAAATAAGGGGGCGTGTGTGTGTGTGTGTATAAATATACACACACACACATATGTATATATCTGTACCTATTATTTCATCAGTATGGAAATTCTGATCAAACAGACCTACTTGTACTTCCTCACACAGGACCTTTCTTCTCCAACCCCTACTAATGAAGATGGGCAACTGATCTGCCATTTATAGTCTTAGCTGCTTGGGCTTCTGAGGGGCTAAATGACATGCCCTTGATCACATAACTAGTGCACGTCCAAGACAGATCTTGAGCCCAGCTTTTCCTGACTCGCTGGCCAGCCCTCTATTCAACAGCCGCACTGCCTTGCAAATATTCAGTCAAAAAGATAATGCTGAACTTCAAGCCAAGACATACTTCCAGCATGACTACATGGTCTAAAGAGCAGGAGGCAGGAAGCCAAAACGGCTAAGTTTTAATACCTCATCTCCCACTAACTAGCCGCATCACCCTGGGGATATGGTAGAAAGAGCATTTAATCAGGAGTTAAGATATCTCTTTCCTAGTTTTGGCTCTGGTATTAAATAGCTATATGACTTCAATTAGATTCACCTCCATTCCAAGTCTCAGTTTCCAAATCCGTAAAATAAGCAAGTTGAATTAGATGACCTTGAAGATACCTTCTAGCTTTAAAAATTCTATTAAGAGTCATTCATAGCCTTCTTTGTATTTGATCTGCAAAATAAGAACAAAAAATACTTGCCCTGTCTCAGAAGGTTAGTTCAAACATAAAACAAGATTTTAAAACATGAAGACAATTGTAAAGAAAAAAGCACTATAGGAATGCAAGATGTTGTCATTATTATAACAACCAGGAAGGGACCCTTATCTCCAAAGGAAGAATTACGAAAAATTCAAGCACACCAGCAGTATGTGGTGGGAATTTTTTTTAACTTCAATATAAGCAGCTGTCCTACGAGAACCATCATGAATATTAGTATGTATTAAACAGGTAGAAGCAAGAAACACTGTTGGAGCCATCACATGAAGCACATTTAATAAAGCAAACAAGGTTTCTGCTGGCTGCAGAGTTCTATACAATATACTAAAAATGATACATGAGTATGTGTTTGCTGTATGCCACAGAGAACTGACCTAGAGTATTCATTAAGCATTTATTTCCTAAACTTTTCTGAACTTCTCATTTCCAGCCATGCTGCTACCCCCCAAAACTCATATACTTTGAATACCAGTGTTTGCTTTAAGAAAGCAGTTTTTGATACTGTTAAAAGAAAAATGGAATGGCCTGGCTACTTCTTTTGACTGCTGGTGGAATTCCAAAATGTTAACTCATCAGCTTCTGACTTTGAAAAGTAACCACCCAAGCTCAATTCCGGAGTTTAGGGCAAACTCTAACCCAATCTAAACAAACCAGTGGTCTTACTCCTAACCTCCAGCTCTGAAGAAGGGGCAGCCCTGAAAGCTTGCAAAGAGCTCAATGGAGTGAGTAAATCCTGGAAGTATTACTTACTGAATCAGATTTTGAGAGAATGACAGAACATTGTTTAAGTAGTGAATTAGCATTTCTGGGATTAGAATGGCATCATCTGAAGAGTCTCAGCCAGGAATTATACAGTACTGCAGTGATGCTATCATTAAGGAGAAGTCTGCTGCCAAATAACTGTTCCCACCCCGGTCAGCCTTTCCTCTTGAAACAATAAAACTTTCTAAAATCTACCCTTCCATCACTCAAATTATCCCAAGCTCTTAAAAACAAAATCCAGAGGCTTCCAAATATTCTTTCCCCCCACCCCACCCCACTGCAGGATACTTAACAACTGAAACCTCAACTCTTGCAAAAGAAAAAACATGTGATACTGTTCTATTGTTCCCACAAAATCCTTCCATGCTGTTGCACCAAAGAGCTGGTTACAATTACTTTTTTCTGTTTTCTTATTATAGCCATCTCTACACAACCAGCTTCTAAGAAATCAGACTCTACTGTGTATTTGTTTAGATAAATCTGTCATTTAAGATTAAAAACCTCCACAAAATGTAAATTCACATGAATCACATAAGAAGAATTGTTTCCAAACATGAAACTAATAGGTCAAGTGTAAGGGATTTAATAATGGTCTTCCAACAACAATCTCATAAAATCGGAAACAGTGTGTGTGTATGTGTGTGTGTATGTGTGTGTGTGTGTGTGTGTACCTCAATACCCATATACAATCAAGGTCAAGGGAAGGCAAGACTGAAAGAAAGTCGAGGTATATTCTACAGAATTGAAGAAAGTTACCACTTCTAAGAATTAGATTGTCAGTCTTACCACATGATGGGAAAATAACAATTGCTTTTGTACCACTTAAATTTAGTTTTCCACTGTCTAATACTTGAGTCAATGCTCTATTCTCAAACAGACAGGAATTGGATTATTACAACAGAGAAAGTATACATGTTTGCCTCATCAGTACTTTCATTCATGCAAACACAAGGAACTTGTATAGAACAGTTAACAGGGCCAATGAAACAGAAGATTCTTGGCAAAACCAAAGAATCAAGAAATTTCTGGTTGTAAGTTTTCTGAAAGACTAAAAATACCTAAAAATTTTACTTAAAGCACTCCTGAACCAAAAGTGTGAACTAACCTCTTACCGAATGCTCTCTGCTAAGAGTCTGGGCTAGCAATAATACAAAGAATAAAGCCAATGGTTAATCATTAAGAGGGGGCAACAATCACAGCATTATTTCCTCCAGCTTCTCTACTGCAAACCAAAGCCGTGTGGACTACAGTCACAATTCCATAGAAAGATATTATAACTCAATACTTAAGCCCTTTTTATGGTATTATTTTGAGTAAAGTCATTATCTGATATAATACAAATCTTTCTCCTAATCTCTTAATATTCCTGAAAAAACTCCAAAGAAAGGTATATAATTTGTAGTTCTGGTATGTGCTTGCTGAAGAGAAAGGTTTTGCTGCATTTTTTAAAAAGCATTTACCACATTGGGGGGGGCCCTCATTGGGAACCCAGCAACTAACATGAAACCAGGGTCTGGAAAGCTGGCAGTCCATTTTCAGTGTCTGATTAGTTTGAAGAATATAACACACCAGGAGTCCAACTATACTCTAACTGCAAAGCAGTTTCCAGTAACTACAACTCCAAAATGGGAGTTAGCTACCTTCAGCTAACCAACATTAATACATTATTACTGTGGAGTAATAATGGAAATATATTTCACCCAGTACATACTCATTTTTCCACTACCCTCGATCCATATAATATGGTTACCCCAGGATACAAAAGGCAAAAACTGACATCTCTAAGGTTTGACAGCTCTCACTTGTTCCATCACCTCTGAAAAAGAAGGCGGGGTGGCTGTCACCAATGTCCACAGCCTGTCTATTCTGACCAGCCCCAAGGCAGCAGCACCAAGACTGTCTAAACAGGACAGTTCAATGAGGTATCAGGTCAGTAAAGTTTTTTCTGCCACTCACTGGTACAAACTTCAGAACAAACCAGCAGCACCCATCAGGGAGCTCCCCCAGAGACCCAGAACACCAATTTCCAATTTATAAACACAACTTTTCCCATTAGAAACATGTTAACAAATACTAGTATTTTAGCTGAGGGGAGGAGCAGTGAAGCAAAGAATTAATATGAAAGGGCAGAAAAATTATAAAGGGATGAAGGAAACGATGCGGAGGTGCCAAACAACTGGACCAGAGACCAAAGACCAGAGAGAAACGGACGTTGGGAGTGATATCCATCCTTAGCTTCATCCTTAGATTTTGGGTTTATCTCTAGAGGCATAGGAGGAGTTGGAAGGGGAAGGGAGAAAGGCCAAAAAGGGAAGGAGCCTCCTTCCTTCCTATAACCACTCTCCCCAACTGCCCACTCCGAGTTCTTGACCCCCTTTCCAGAACATAGAGGCGGGAGCGCGCGCGCACACAACACAAACACACACACACACACACACACACACACACACACACACACACACACCACAATACACACAAAATTCTTCTCTTTCCCCATCTAGCACTCACCATCAATGTTCTCTCGGTCGCTGATGTGTTGCAGGTTGCAGCCTGTGTCCTCCCGGCTCAGCTCAGTATCGGGCCGATAGGACTCCAGCCGGGAGTGGGCATTTCTCCTGAGCTTGGGGCTGGACGACACACAGCAAGACGTAGTGTTCCCCATCTTCACTGGCCTCCCCAATTTCTCCTCCCCTTGCTTTCTCCGTCTACCACTTCCCCAACCCCCCCTCCAGGGATAGGGGTGCAGGGTAAAGGGGCGGGGGCAGAGGAGGGAAGGGATGCGGGGGGCAAAGGGGGTGGGGATGGGGAAAGGGAAAGGGTAGGGGAGGAAGGAGGGGGTGTGGGGCTCTCGCTCCCCGCCGCGGGGGATGCAAGCCGCAGCCCAGCTGCCCCGGTCAGCAGCTGCAGCAGCGGCGGCGGCGGCGGTGCCTAGCCATGGGCGGCGGAGGAGGAGACAACAACGGGGAGCGGGAGGAGGAGGCGGAGGACCAAGAGGAGGAGGAGGCGGAGGAAGAGGAGGAAGAGGAGGCGGAGGCGGCTTCCCAGGCTGCCCCCTCGGTCGCACACGCTCGCCGCTCTCCCCAATGGTTCATCCAACCGGCCTCTGCACGAAAGCACGTCCTAGCTGGCTCCGCGCTGCAGTCAGGGGAAAGAAGACCCCGACCACTTTCTCTCACACACACACACACACACATACACACACACACATACACATACATGCACTCACGCACACTCACACTCACACACGCGCGCGCGCGTGTGGCTGCAGCGGTGGTGGCGCCTAAGTCATCCCGCCGCAGCCATGGCCCGGCCCGGGGCTGGGGCGCGCCTCCTGGCCTTGGCACTCTCTCCGCCCGAGCTGGCTAAAGTCCGCCGCGGCCGCTGCGGGAGCAGCAGCAGGAGCTGGAGCAGTAGCAGCGGCTGCAGCGGCCCCAAGCTGCCTTTCGCAAAAGGTTCCGGTTCAAGGGGGTGGTAACCAGAGCTGCTAGCCAGCCTGGATGCGGAGGCTAAGTGCGTGGCCGCTGGGGCGTCTCCGTCTGCCCCGCGCGCTGTCCGCGTGCCCCCGGGCCACCACCGCCCGCCAGGAGGGGGAATTCCTCCGGGCTGCAGCCGTTGCAGCCGCCGCCGCTGGGGGAAACCCCCGCTCCCGCGACATCCCCGCCTCCTCTGCTGTCGCCTCCTCTTCCTTTTTCGCGGCATCGGCTGCCCTGGAAGCACATTCAAGTGGCCGGAGAAAAAGAGCCGGAGCCGGCGGCTAGGGTGCGCGGGGCGCACGGGAGGCAGCGTGTGCCCTGTCCAGCCCCGAGGCATCCCCGTCCTGTGCTGACACCCAGAGCACCAGTGGTACCCCGAGCCACTTCAGCTTTCTTCCTTTCGATTTTTCTTTCTTAAAAATAATTATTATTATTATTTCCATCTTTCTTTCCCTCAGTTCCCTGCACTCCTTATCCAAAGAACTAGCTGGACCGGAGATACCATAGAGTATTAACGAAAGGTCTCAATTTGTGTTTTATTCCCCAAGAAAGATGGAAACCTGGCACAGGGAGAAACACAGGCAAGGAAGAGTGAGTTTGCCCTCTTTGGGGGGCCTCAAATACTGGAGGACTAAAATGTGGATCCAGAAGTAGAGGGAAAGGTATTGGAGTAGGGAGAGGAAATGGGGGTGAGTAAGAGGAGGATTGAGAGCCCGGGAAGGGAAGCCTCTCATTTCAAGCTGGAAGGGATCTTAGGGTCATCTAATAAAAAAAAAAAGCCTCTATTTTATAATGAAGCCAAGAGACTCGCCCATGGTTACACAGGTAGAAAACGTTGGATGAGGAGGGTAGAAGTAGGAGGGATGGTTGGGGCTAGTTAGAAGGAAGAGAGAAAGGTGTGAGGCACTCCTTGTGACGAATGTATTTTGGTGTTTAAAAAGAAATGGGGTGGAGTGGAGATGCGAACGTGCACCTCGAGTCAGTAGATCTCTGGTTTATTTTAGGGCAGTGCATTGATTTAGTTGTTGACCTTGTTGAAATCGTGGAATGAATCCCTTTGGGCCCCAGACTTCGGGAGGGCATTAAGTTACTTGGAAGTTGAGACTATGTAAGAGAATCCAGGAAAATGGCATTATGATCTTTATAAAATGTTGAGATTATTTTTAGTAGCAAGGTGCTGATCATCAGTTCATCAACAAATATGTATTTGAGTGATATTTGCCAGTCACTATGCTAGATACTAGAGATAAAACAACCCAAATGGAGCAGTCCCTGTCCTCAAGGAGCTTACATTCTATAGATTTAGAGCTAGGAGAGGGTATAAAAACCCTTCATCTTAAATATTCAGTCATGATTCTTGGGCACTTGGGGTTTTCTTGGCAGAGATACTGAAGTGGTTTGCCATTTCTTTCTCCAGCTTATTTTTCAGATGAGGAGCTGAGGCAAAAAGGGCTGAGTGACTTGCCCAGGATCACTCAGCTAGTATATAAATATCCGAGGCCAGATTTGAACTCAGGAAGCTGAATCTTTCTGACTCCAGGCTCATCCCCCTATCCACTGCCATACTTGCTCAAAAGTTATATTGTAGGATAGAAAGCTTTTTAGTCAGAGGACCTGAGTTTAAAGCCTGCTTCTGCCAGGTACCATGTAGGATAGGTACTAGAGATAAAATAAAAATGAAGCAGTCTCTGCCCACAGGAAGCTTACATTCTATAGATTTAAGACTGGGACTGGGTTGAGATGTGATCTAGTTTACATAACTAGTTTAGATGCTGTCTAAACTAGAGGTTATCTAGTTGGACACATACTAAGTGTATAAATACTAATTATATACATAAATACTAATTATGCAAACTTGGGCTACTCATTTAATTACCCTGAATCACAATTTCCTGTAAAAAGAGGTGGTTGAACTAGATAATCTTCCAATTCTCTATCTCTGATCCACACAGGTATTAAATGGCACAGTTGGAAGTCAAAGCCAAGTTTTCAGAAATCCAGCACTCTTTTCAGTGATAATAATGGCTTATGTTTCTATAATGCATTAAAGTCTGCCTTATGCATGGAAGAGGATCCCAGTTTGGGAAGTAGTCAGGTGGCTATGCAGGTATTATCTATACAGCAAACCTGTATTGTCAATAACTGTAAACTAGAAAACTCTTCTCTTTCCCTTCTCTTCCCAAGTTTAGTGCAGCCCTTTGTTGAGGGAGAGGGAATCAGAAGAGTATTAAATTGTAAGTTCCTTGAGGACAAGAGACTGTGATACTCTGCTTCTTTGTATTACCAGGGCATTTAAGAGTTGTTCAAAGGCTACTTGAGGTCTGTGAGAAAAAGGTCATTCCCAGGAATTTGTCCTTGTGATTAGGATAATCCCTGGAATGCTGCATTATTTCATAGTAATGATAAGGGACAAGGTGACTTTATGCATATATTGTTTTCTTTTCTTTCATCTCTCCACCCATCCCCCTTCCAGTAGTGGAGGAATTAAGGATCAGATTGGCCTGAATTGAAGATGGACTAGACTAGTCTGGAACAGAGACCAGGTTAAACTGAGAGAAGCTGAGGAGTACAGCCTTCTGAATTAGCCCTGGTATTCTAATTCTGGAATCTGATTTTCAGTGACTGCCCAGGACAGCACTAGACAAAATGGCAGAGTAGGCACTTTCCCTTATTGTCTTTTAACCCGAATACTTCTTTGTAATATTGTGATCTACTGTATTCATGCTGTCCAAAGACACCTCCGTGCAAGCTTGCCCTCTAGTCAAAATTTTACTTCCTGAGTATCACACCCCACCCTCCAAAATTAAAAATCTGATTACCCAAGTAATCTGTCTACCCAAGTAGGCCTAGGTAGGTATTGATCCTGGTTATCCGTCCTCCCTTTGCATACCTAGAACTGTGCTCTTTAGGCTCTATCTTTTTAATAATTTCTCTGTTTCTTTCACTGGTTCCTCCACCTCCCATCCCCATCACCCTAGGGTGCTCTTCTTGGCTTGATTCTCTTTCTTTGCTCTTTTTCTCAGTGATCTCATCCACCTCTGTGGCTTTCCCAGATCTCAATTTCCAGCCCCAGCCTCTCTGTTGAGCTGTTACACATCTGCATTTCCAGCTGTTTCCTAGACAGCACCATCTGGAAGACCTGTCAGCACTTCAAACTCAACATCTCCAAAACTGAATTCATTATCTTTACAATCCCCACCCTTCCCAACCAGATCCACCTCCTGGCTTCCCTATATTTAACACTACCAACCTCCCAGTCACCCATATTTGATGCCTCAGAGACATCTTTGACTCCTTTCTTTTCTTTTGTCCCCACATCCAAACAATGTTCCTCTTTCTCCTATCTGTCCCCTCTATGTCCACTTCCACCACTTCAGTTCAGATTTCCATGCCCTCTTGCATACATTATTTTCTCAAGTTTTATTGGTGTCTTTTGCTTTTACATCCCAGTCACTTCCAAATATGTCTTTTCCCTTCTTCAAATTTTAATCTTCTCTGGTAACAACAATAAAAAATCTGTAAGCAAAACCAACCAAGACATTAACAACCCATGATTCTTTACCTCTCCAAATAAAGAATGGCTCATTTTCTGGGCCAAGATTAATCATTATAATTATATCCCCTTCAGTTTAATTTTATTGTTCTTTTTTGTTTATATTGTTGTAGTCATTGTATATATTCTTTTCGTGATTGTTCATTCTTCTTGGATAGATTCTTGCAACCGCCTCCTAACTGGTACCCTTCAGTCTTCTTCCCCTCATTACCAACCCATTCTACATACAGTATCAGATTAATCTAACCAAGCATAACTGATCGTGACATGCCCTTGCTCAGAACCTTCTATGGATCCCCATTATATAGCTACAATTTAGAACCAGTCTACCTTTCCAAACTTTTCTCCTGCTATTCCCTTTTATGTACCCTATTTTCCAGCCAAAGACTAGACAGACTGCTTCCTGTCCTCTGCACATTCTCTGATTTCCTGCCTCCTTGCCTCTATACAACATTTTTCCCCCATCTGGGAATACCCTTCCCAATCCACTCCCACCCCAGCTAGGCCTATTTCCTACCCATCCTTCAAGAACCAACTCAAATCTCTTCTGTGAAGCCTTCCCTACTCCAGTAATCGCTTCTCTCATCGAATTAACCCAGCATTTTATATGACCTCTCCACCCATTATTTTATTTGTACATTATACCTTGAGCTGTAACTATTTCTATATTCTCATTTCTCATTACAGCTTGGATTCTGAGAAATGTTTGTTGACTAAAGAAATTTATTATCAGGTCTAAATGATGGATAGGCTTACTATTCCCCAAGTAATGAAACAAATCCAGTCTTCCAAGGAGAAAATAATTATATTGCATATTTGCACTCAATAACTTTGTCAACTGAATGGAAGTAACTCTGACACAAGCAGAATCCCAGGATGGTATGTGTCATGGAACACTGGAGACAGCAATGGATTTAGAGTCAGAGAACCTGCACTAAAATCTTTCCTCAGACACTTACGACTTGTGTGGCCTTGAGCAAGTCAACTTCCTTGGCCCTGGCTACTCCATCTATAAATGAGGGAGGGAAGACATGGAGGTGGTTTGTGAATAGATGATTTCAAATATACCGTCCATCTATGACCCTAAGCTCTATGGGTCTGTTTAGCTTTCAGTTTTAATATGTTTAAGGAGGCAACTAGGTGGCACAGTATTGGAGTCAGGAAGACATGAGTTCAAATCTAGCCTTAGATACTTAGTAGCAGTGTGACCATGGGCAAGTCAGTAACCTCTATTTGCCTTAGTTTCCTCATCTGTAAAATGGGGATGATAATAGCATCTAACTTCCAAGGTTGTTGTGAGGATCAAATGAGATAATAATTGTAAAGCACTTAGCACAGTTCCTGGCATATAGTAAGTGCCATATAAATGTTAGCAGTTACTACTACTACTACTACTACTACTACTACTACCACTACCACCACCACCACCACCACCACTACTACTGCTGCTCTTACTTTTAGTCAGGGTTTCCATCAGAAGGCTTGTTCCATGGTTATACACGGTCAATGTGGTGGTTTGTTGTGCTTAACTGTACTTTGTAACAAAGGAAGATTATGTTTAGGGGGAAGAAGATTAATTGAGAAGAACAAGCTGAAGTAAAACATTAATAAAGGGCATACATGTCCTACATTTTTCACAACTTCTAAGAGAAAATAGCAAAAACTCTTCATGGAGTTTTGCTCCCTACTCCATAGGCCCTTCTAAGCTAAAGTAACTCCTACTTACAAAGGCTAAAGCATAAACTGTTCTTTTAAAAACTCTACTTGAAAATCACATGAGCCTTCTCAGACTAACCTCATTCAGCTCCAAAAATCTTCCTACTAATTTTACTTACCAATTTATGTACATGTTACCATCTCCAAATTTTTCTCTTTGCAGATAGGCTGAGTCGTATCAAGTTACCTCTGACTTGAGAAAAGCCAAGAAAATGAATCCATTAGAAGGGACTTAAAAGACACTCAGGCTTAAGGAACTTTGTTGAGATAAAAGGCAGAGAAATTCCCATTGCATTTATTCTGCTTAGCTTATGTAAGCCAATACATCATATCAACCCTCTTTCAAAGTATGTTGATATTTCTTTGCTTTGATCAGTGATCAAAACCTTCTGAGTATTTCTAAACTGCCAGAATGGCCAGGGACCATATCTTACATTTCTATATAAAGGCAATAATAATTGTTTGTTCAATGCCTACCATGTAACCAGGTTACTTAAAAATGGTAATGATCGTCTCTGAACTTGGGGTGGAATACATCTAATAAGAGCCAGTAAAAAAGGTAGTTGCATGGAATCTTATGAATCTAACCTAACGCACTTTAAATTGAAAAGATATATGGAAGAAGAAAACTACCCACATATATGCACAAGCTTTGTACTGGAGAGCGTAACAGGTACAAAGTAGGAGAAAAAAGCAGGACCAGTGCTTTCTGAAAGATAAGATACAAAGAAGTGAGTCAACAATAAAACATATAGCCTTAGATATCTACAAATGCACAAAGTATGGGTAAAAAATATTGGGAGGGAAGAAACAAATGCAAAGAGGCATATTTGCCTTCCTAGGTATTACTAAGCCTTGGAGTAATGAGGCTTAATTCAACTCAACATTTATAAAGTGCTTCCATATACAAAATGTGAGGTAGGATGGTAGAGTAAACAGAGGTCTGGCCTTACTATATGATAGACCTAGGCTCAAGTTCTGATTTATACTAGCTATGTGACCATGGGCAAGTAATTTAACTCTTCAGGGTCCAAGGACAAGCCAATAAGATGATATGCTGATCTGCATCATTGAAAGGAGTTTCTACACTTGGAGTTCTTTCTTACTACCAAAATCCCAAGACTGGACCCCAAGATATGTGCAAGATACTATTTTAGGCAATAAGGATACAATAAAAAAAAAAAAAGAAGGAAGGAGGAGAGAAAGAAAGAAAGAAAAAGAAAGGAAGAAAGAAAAAAAAAACCATTCCTGTCCTCAAGATGTATCTAGGTTTTGGAAGGAAAGGCATCCCCTCTTCTACCCAGTTCCTGCCAGCATAGATAGCCCAAATGAATTCTGTATTGAAGGCTCAACATTATTTTGAAGAGAGGGCAGATTTGAAACCCTGGTCCCCAGTGAGTCTTGTGGTCTAAACTGAGGAAGTAGCTTTCTGTTTTTCTCAATCAAAAATTATTAAATACCTATTCTGTGCAGGGCATAGTGCTACTACTGGGGCAAAATCTCTGATTCATATCTGACACTTGGCAAAACTCAGGTTAGAGACATCACGCCAAAGTTGCAGGAGGAGACATTACATCACCCTTACTGGTTAAGAGTAAAGAGCTGAGAAACAGCTTTGGAGGGAGCAAGAAGCCATATGACTAGGAACGTGTGCCCTGATTTGACTGGAAACAGTAGGCTTCTAGACTATATGCATTATTCTCTCTCCTTCCAGCTGTCCACAAAGAAGCCTCCTTCTGGTGTCACACTGAATTTTTCTCTCTTTTTTCTTTTTAGTGGTCTGGGAAGATAGCATTCCATTGACTGCATGTAAAGTCTCTCTCCTTCTTAGCAGATAGGAGAAAAAGTAACTTGGTTTGAAAGAGATCATAAGATCATCAATCTAGAATGTCCTGAACTTCCTTTCTGCCCTGGATGTGTTCCAACATGTAGTTGAGAGATGTAGCAGAGGCCTGTTTCCATAATCTCTCTGTCTTTCTCCACCTCTGTGTCTGTGTATTTCTGCATGTGTGCATGTGTGTGTGCCCATGTGTCTCCCTCTTTCACAGAAAATTCTGTATAGCTTCAGATACCTCCAGGCATATCCCGTGGGCCTAGGAGTAGTCATCACAGGATTTTAGCACTAGAGACCAGAGACTATCTAATCTGACCCATACCCAAATGGAATCCCCAATATAATATTCCTAACAAATAACTATTTAGTTTCAGAAGATTTCCAGGGAGGAGAAAAGCAGCAAATCTACTTTTGGATAAATTAATTGTTAGGAAATTTATCCTGATTGATATCAAGTCTAAATTTTCTCCTTTGTAATTTCCACCCATTACTCCTGTTTTTGCCCTCTGGGATGAGACAGGATAGGTCTAGCAGGCATTTAATAAATGCTTATTTGCTGACTGCCTGACTAATGTCACAATGTGGCATGGAGGCAACCTTGTCTTCTGGACAGATAGACCAGAGGAGTACAAACCCTGGTAAGTTCTAGCAAGGCTTCAAATACGGTCTCAGAAGCAGATTCTGTCTGCTTTTCAAGGACCTCCCTACATAAATACAGAAAGGCTTATTACCAATAGGCTAATAACCTGGTGATAGGATCTTTGGCCACAGCAAACCATGAAAACCTCCTGTCTGGGAGTCCCTTTTCTACTTTTGTAGTGACTGTAACAAAATGGCATAAGCAGCAGGGACGAAGGTGAAAAGAATCAGGCAGCTTTCCAACTCTACTCTATATATGAGACTTTGTCTCATAACCAAAAAGTAGGCATACTACTAGGGGAAGTGAGTTGTGTCCATCTTGATGTTCTTGCTATAGATGAAACCAGAAGACAAAAGAAGTTGCAACTAAATGAAAAAATGGCTCTTACTGGCATCATTCTCTTCAGGAATAATTGTATGCTTTAAATTTTTAATAATACTGTTAAAGATCATTTATTCATTGTATAGGAATTATTTTTATAGCTTTGTATGTTTGTTACTGGGTCAGTAATTCCCTTGATGGTACACGAGCATGAGAATTCATTTGTTCTTGATTTAGAAATTCTGCTGATAGTCAAAAAAGTGCACAGCAGAAAACAAAAGAACTTAGAAGGAAGTGCAGAAAAGAAGGGTAGCTTTGAAAACAATGTGTAGTATTTATTACATAGCGGGTGTTTTTAAGTAAACAGTGTGAAGTGGAAATTTGTGGTTTTATATTGAATCCTCTTTTATGTTGTTCTGTGTACATGGAAATGTTTCTCTCTTTTTTTGGTCTTTATGTATTTAAGTTCAAAATGAATAAAAATTTTTAAAAAGAAATTCTTGTGATAGTCCATAGGCCTTGTGGTACCCATTAAATGCCTCTCTATTCCTCTAGAGCATAAATATGACTTTGTGGATAAAGATCTCAGTAGCCTTGACCCCTTCTCTACAGTATCTGGTGTATAGCAGGTTCCGTAAAAGCTGGTGGAGTTTGGGAATGACTACTCTTCTAGCAGCCTCATTATCACATGAGCTAACATTATTCTGAGGGATATAAGTAAATGTAAGAGAGTTGGAGGTGGGGAGATTACTAAGAAGAGGTCAATCAGACAGCTTTCCTGTATGAAGCAGCTCTTGAGTCAAGTCTTGAAAGAGCAAAGTATTCTAAGATAAGAGGCAGAGGCGAGCTTGAAATGTATTCCAGATGCAGAGAGATAAAGATGCAGAAGTGGGAAATCAAATGTCAAGCTCGGAATGGCTACTAAGCCAATTTGGCAAGAATATCAACCATGCAAAGGGAAACATTTGAAGTAAGGCTAAAAAGGGAGCAAAGAGCCAGATGGGGGGTTGCGGGTTGGGGGTGGGAGGGTATTAATGCCAGTCTAAGGAGGTTTTTGTTTTGTCTTAGGAGTAATAAGGAGCCACTGAAAAATTATGAGCAAGAGAGTGGCATGGTCAGATCTGTGCCACTGTAAGATTATTTTTAGTAGCTATGGGGGGAATGGATTGTAGGGGAGACAGACTGGAAATAGGGAGAGCTATTTGAAGGTTATTGCTATAGTCCAGGACAGAGATAAGAGTCTGAACAGAGACAGGACAGAGATAAGAGGTTGGTCGTGTAAGGAGAGAGAAAGGGATAAGATACAAGATATGTAAGGGAGGTCTCTTTGATAAGACTTGGCAACTTGCTGAGGTAGTGGGATAGGTGAGGGAGAAGGAAGGAAAGGGACGAGTCCAAGATAAGCACAGATGGAATGGAAAGAGTCTACATGTAAGCAATACTTAGCAAAATGAGGGTCTAGGTAAAATTATTGGCCTAGCTTTTGTTTTTGTGTCAGCAGGCACCCCTTTTGTAGGGCAGCAGATGGAGCTCAGTCACTTAAGATCAGCTATGCCACTTTGGGCAGGATTCTTGACTCATGTCTTTACTCAGATCCCTTCATGATTCATTCTGTTTCCAAAGACAAAAGATTTGACACTGTATCTCCACACCCACCCCTAGAGAATACAGCTGTAACCCACCAGCTCCCGGCTGCCTTTCCCTAGGAAGAAAACACAGAACACCACACAAAGAACTATACCATCACTGAGCTGCTGTACTGTTCCCCAAAGCCTTACCTGGCTGTTTGCTCACACACACTTCATTATGAACATCATCTAAAAGAAGCTGATTTAAAATCTATACACCAACAACACTGTTTTGCCACAGGGCCACCAGAGTGGAGGAAGGGCAGTGTAGTGAGTGGAAAGAACAGTGGGTATTTGAGTTGGGGGACTGGGGTTCGAACCTTAGATCTGTCACTGACTGTCTGTATGGCCTTAGGCAACTTACTTAAAGCTGCCTGAGTCTCCAGTTTCCCCATCTGTAAAATGAGAGCTTAGGGCAGCTAGGTGAGGAAGTGGACTGAGCACCTGGCCTGGAGTCAGAAAGACCTGAATTCAAATCCGGACTCAGACACTTACTGGCTATGTGACCCTGGACAGGTCATTTAACCCAATTTGCCTCAGTTTCCTCATCTGCAGAATGAGCTGGAGAAGGAAGTGGGAAACCACTCCAATATTTTTGCCAAGAAAATCCCAAATGGGGTCACTAAGAGTCAGACATGACTGAAATAACTGAACATCAACAAAATAAGTAGACTTGACCAGATGAACTCAAGATTCCTTTCAGCTCTAAACCTGTGGTCCTGTGAGTTCAGCTGTGGTGCATGGCCCCAGCTGTTGTCTGCCACCTTCACACATGAACTAACAATAATCAAGTGTTTAGCATAAGCAATGAGAAACAGCTACTGAAGCTAAAGGGGGAATTTAGGTGTTCAGAATATAAATGTCAGATTTGAGATTCTTAACACACTTCTCCTAATACAATAGGATGAGATGTCCTAGACAAGGGCATTCTTAGAGTCTTCTCTCTACGTCTCCTTTAAATATGAAAGAAAGTAGTAACTGTAGCAGAGAACTGGAAACAAAGTGGGTGCCCACCAATTGGGGAATAGCTTTAAAAAATTGCAGTACATGAATGTAACGGAATATTATAGTGACATAGGAAATTAGAAATATGAAGAATTCAGGCACATATGTAAAAATTTCCATGAACTGATACAGAATGCAGTAAATAGAATCAGGAAAATACATATGAAATGACTCAAAAAAAAAACCCCAAGGAAACAAAACCAGACATAGTTTAATTATGAGGAAAGAGCCTCAGAGAATAGGTGAGAAAATCAACTTTTTTTTTATTAGAAAGATAGGGGCTTATGGACATGGAACATTGCATATGCTATCAGATGAGGTCAATGTATTAATTGATTTTGCTGAATTTTTTTGTTTAATCTTTGTTACCAGGGAAGCCTCAATGGAGAGGAGAGGTTGGAAAAGATATATTCAGAAAGGAATATGAAGTAAAAACAAAAAGGATCAATAAAACCCTTTAAAAAGACAAGAAAATCAAATTATTGAAGTACTAAGATAAATTAACATGGACACCAAAGAAGAAAGACATTTCCTAAGAAATCTATTAAAATGTCTCCATTCTTAGTAACAAAATTTCTCAGCTTATTTGCTTTCTTACTGAGGAAAAGAAACATTCCAATAAATATTCACAAGCATTCCATGAGGCTAGTGTGAACATTGATGATATAGCATACCACTCACATCCAGATCCTGCTACAAAGACAATCTCTCTTCTCCACCCCCGTCCCCCAGCACACATGCATGCAAACGTGTCAACATAATGAGAATAATATAATAAGAAAATGTTTAGCATCTGAT